CGTTTGTGCACGCGACGTATACGCGTCGCGACGCTGTGTGCGTGCTGGATGTCATCTGCTGACCGGTTCGAGCTGATAGAAACGCGCCACCGTGGGAAGAGGGAGCTAACCAAATGGGCAAAGTGTTGTCCGAAAGAACAAGGAAAAGTGTTGAGAATTGTTGGACAGTAGTTTTCACGGTTCTCTCGGGATCTCTTAAACTTGCACGAGCTCTTTTAGCTAAGTTGACCGAGTTTAGAAGGTTTTTCGTCTTGCACACTGAGGTAGTCCCTGGGTCAGTGTTTCCAGGCGGAATTTGGACGACTGTTTTTGTGGAGCCTTCGAGAGATCTCGGATGGTTTCGTTTTCTGTTGTTTCTTATGGTAACTGTAGGTAAATTTAGAAATGTTTTACATTTTATCTTATTCTTAATTTTCTGTTCTTTGAATGTAATAAATACCATTGTGTATTTACCATTGTAATTTAACAAACTAGAGTTTATTTATGATAATCAATTTCTTCATCAATTTTAAGTCTCAATTTAATTTCAATTTTATTCGGTTTATAATCAATTTCACACTTCATTTCACATTGACGCTTAAGAAAATAACAGTCCTGACGAAAATAACGATCCACTTTACTCTCAAACATTTACCAAATTTTTGCATAGAATTCCCCAAATTTTCTGTGTGTTCGCCAGTTTCTCGGGAATCTTGAAATACTCGGGATGTTAAATTTTCGAGCATCCTCCGTGAAACCTGGAACAACCCCTTCAGCACCTTGCAACAAGAGAGATTCGCCTGGAAAGTATTGGACGGACAGGTTCCGTCGCGACAGCTGGACAAAATTTTCACGGCAGTCGCTGCTCTTCTTCGCTGGGGGTCTTCGTGTTTTAGGTGGCTATGGGAAAATCTTCCACAATTTGCTACTACGCACGCCAAGACAGCTGTGTGGAGATTTTTAAAGTTTAGCTTCATGCAAATTACTCGCTAGACCGCTCGATTTATTGGCTTCGGATGTCACGGCACCGAAGACAGTGGCAAGGAAATCGTGGTACACCCCTGTTTACCCGTGGGACTTGGTTCTTTCGTGATTCTTATTCGAGACTTTCTACTCGATATTTTATGGTGCTCGTGAGAATGGATGGCGTTATATCGTTTATGCGTACATTCATTTAGAGGCGCTTTAAATTTCTTTGTGACGAAGATAAATATAAAATTATTAAAATATGAAAGGGAAGGTGTTAGGTCACTTTTTCGATGTTCGTAAATTATTTGTTTATATTTTTATTGGTCTCGTTATACTCGTGGGTATTTTAACGTTAAAAAGTTACGATGTTAGTTTTAACGAAGCTTCAGATATTGTATAAATATTTATACTTTTTTAATATGTATTTAATCAGAAATTGTGAAAGACACTGGTGATTTCTTTGAATTGTACTTTTTCAGTAACACCTAAGCTGTATTATACTACAATAATGTGCAATGGGAAGGAATAAAAATTGACGAAATTATAGATACTTATTTTTCAATTAAATCTATAGGACGTGAATGATATTGATCATATGAATATTCGGAGTTTAATAACTTGAAATTATCGTATTATAAACAAAATTCAACCCCAATTCATTCTCAGACTTTAAATTCACTTAGGTAACTATAAATAAAAATATTCCAGTACTATTAAAAGTTATAAATAAATTAACAAGAAACATTGCTCTTTAAAATATTTCACTTTCATTACTTTAACAGATTTTAAAGAATACCAAGGCAATAAAATTAAAAAATTTTTCTTCCATCCATCGTACCTCCATAGCTAGAGAAAATAATTAGGTGGCCTGTTTTACGTGGCTCACCCTGCATATTCGTTCTTATCAGAGCATTCAAAAAGCGAGGACTTACTCGACACTCTAATACTTCACCTCCACAATATTTCTCATCTCAACCTTTTTATTCAACACTTTACAAACCTCCTCTCCTCTCCGTTTCCGTCTTACAATTTTAATTACAAGACTACCCGTTTATTATTGAACAAACAATCATCGAAACCGCCCATAGTTACACACACTGCCAAGGCTGCAGTATTCGAATCGTGCACAGTCTCGGTATATATTCGTTCTTATCAGCGTACCGGGCAAGGCTGAATAAAATAAAGTCGTCGGTGTTCGCGTCGTCGCCGGGCGTATTTTCCGCTCGTGAGTGCCCCGCGGCGCTAAACACGCGATATGGCGTTAAGGTAGCAAAGGGACTTGGCCCCGGCACAGGCACCGGCCCATTAAATGGTGTACGCCCGGTAATTTATGGGGTGCGAGAGAAGAAACGTAACCACCATCTCCGTCCGGATGGTGCACATAATGCGAGGCCGCGCGTCGCATAAGAGGCATCTTCGTGCCCCTCCCTACAACCCCGTCGCCGCATCTTACATTTGCATAAAGCTGGATGGACCACGATGACCAGGAGGAAAGGCCGCTGCGAGATTAAGTGCTCGAGATTTCGTCGGTCGTGCTTCTTGCACGCTACTCACGCGGAAAATCCTTCAGGATGCCGGGTTATCCCTTTTTAAGACCCGTCGCGCGGAATCTGTGGATGGAATTGTATGGATATGTGTATGTATAGACGGTCGAGGTGTTGATTACCTGCGGATTTCTCCGTGAGAGACATTGGATGGGCGGAAACCTGATGTGAGAAGCTGAAAAGTTTCGACGAATAAAGAGAGCTGGGATTGAAGTATTTTTTTAACGGTGGAGAATAATTGAGAGCTCTGAGAGCGTTGAGTGATGTAGAGAGTTACACCACATTTGAATTGGGATTAAATAAGATATGGAAAACTTTGCGTTTGAAGTGACAACGTTAACTGAAAATTTTGAAATTTTGGTGAATACAGAGAGTAGGGATTGAAGTATTTTTTAATATTGGAGAATGATTGAGAATTCTGAGAGCGTTGAGTGGTGCAAATAGAGAGTTGCAAGAATTCTAGGTCCAGAGTCTGAAAAATTGTGAACTTTCTATGTGATTTGAATTGGGATTAAGTAAGATTCGGCAAACCTTGCGATTGAAGTGACAATATTATTAGCTAAAAATTTTGAAAATATCAGTCTGATACTCGAAGTAGTCTCGAAATTTAAAACTCAGACAGTGATGTTCGAAACTTCTAAGTTAGTCCCTACAACTTTCAAACGCGAGTAGGTACTCATATCGTAAACTAAAATTCCATATTTCCTTAGAACAATTAAAAGCTCAATAAACAAATTTCGCGTATCACACACGTACTCGTCTACCTACGAACTCAATATTTTACCAATAAGAGAATTAACAAACGAGACTGATAATCTCGATATGGCGCACGTCACGACAAAATGAAAAAAAAAAACTCGACAAACGTTAATGAAATACGAGGTGTATAAGTTATATCCGGTGTTATATTTTCAAAGGTGCGAGCCTGTATTTATTAGTTTGTGTGCAGCATGGTGTTCGAGACCTATCGCGAGAAATTCCTATAAATACACCGGCTCTTCTTCTGCTTGCACGAACGGCCACGAGCAACGCGCTTCTGCCTGGATTTCCGGGACGATACTTTAAATGGGAAAGCAGAAAGGTGGCATCCTAATTCCGAGTTACGATGGCGTTCCCTCGAGGCCGTTCTCTCGGCCGTAACGGTGAACGATCGTCCATTTAAATCGTCTGTATCGCGATTTATTGCTCCTCGCTTCTGGTTCTACGTCATGTGGTTTTCTTTCGGGGACGTTACTGTAATTGGTGGTGTGTGCTGTGATTTCTTTTTTCTTTCTTGCTTTCCTCTGACGTGCAGCTTCCATGAAATCGAATTGTTGAGTAAATCAGAGAGTACATTCTTCGTGCATGCGATCTGTGTGTTTGGTGTAAGGTGCAGTTGAAGGTGAAAATATGAAAAATTATGGCTTCGAGATGGTAGCGGAGTATATAGGTTGACGTTAATGGGCTGAAGATACGGAGTGCTTGACCGTGTGTTCAATTAACCAGAGGTTTATTAAATCTTCTTTTGATACGCATCTGATAGACGAAAGTTTATGTGCTCTTTCTTGGAAATATGGAAATTCGAAAATGTATTGAATTGGAGATGTATACAGGAATAAATTAAACATATTTGTGCATACTTGAAATATTGGATGGATGATTGTTGAATTATAAATTCTCGAGTCGTAGGATTAATAAATATAGAGATTATAAATTTTCTAAATCTAGTATATCTTCATTACTAAACAATTACTTAGTTAATTAGACAGAAAGAGAACGTCAATCGTCGCCATAAAAATTGCTTCTTGTTCATTCTGCTACAATTGTAAATACTTTACTTAATTATAAATAAAAAAGAAAGCGAAAAATTTGGTTTAGACGAAAGCAAAAGTGATTCAGGCAGTGAACAGTATACATAGCTAAAGTCATTGATAACATTAAGCTTCAATTTCAGTTTCTGTGATTAGTTATACATAGTCAGAACTGCGGTTTGACAAGGAAAATGGGCTTTGTGTAATTTTCGAACGCAAAACAGGCTCGGTTATTATGAATCTATGGTTTCGTTTCGTAAAGATCGTTAAATCGAGGAAACCACCCCTGAAGAAACGTAATTGATTCAAATAAACCAGTTTGCTCCTTCGTAACTGACGATATGATATCGCTTTTACTTTACTCAAGATTTTACGTAACTTATCAAATAACGTAAAATCAAAATGCAACATTTGCAACAAAGTATTCCAAATACCTTCCATATATTACATTTCTATCGCTATACCAATCTAATACAAACGTTTTTTATTCCATTCCCTAGTGTCCTACATATAAAATCAATAAACGATCATTTATAAGCAATAAATTATTATCCTCTGAATCGAAAATTGCCGTTCGGTCGAGTAAATTTTTCAATTTATTACTCGAACAAAATCAACATAACTTGTTCGTTTTTACCAACTATTTCACGTACTACGTATACATTATCTGTGTAAACGAACGAAACATTTTCTCCTATCTGGAATTAATCAACGGGCAATGGCCGAATGCAAAAGTGATCTAGCATTTCGCGGCAACCCCAGGAGCGTTAAGAAATCGTTTAAAAGAATGAGAAATTCAGACCTGTTCGTGCGTGGCACCGGGTATAAACGTACACAGAAGGTCCAACAGGCACGATCAGGTTCAAGACCCAGTTCTATCCATCATCGGTTCGTGACCAGATGTTCGCTGGGGGTATAAGGGTTAGCCGATGTAAATATTACCCCTTCGTACCTCATTCCATCGACGTGTATAATGCTAGGCAGCCCAAATTATCCTGGCGAACATCTTTTCATGTTCAATGAGAGATAAAATTTGGATTTTTTTCTTTTTCTTACTGGAAGCACTCTTTAACACTTTGACGTATGGTTTCTTTTTCTGACGATGCATCTAGGAGTCAGCTGTTTACTTTTTTAGTACTGTATTAACCCTTTCACTGCTATTGGCGCCTATAGGCGCTTTGAAAATTCTCTGGCACTTCAATTTTAAATTAAATTTAAATTTAAGTTTAAAATTCAATCCTTTGGGAACTCTCACTTTAATTCAATAATGGAAATTTGAAAATGTTAAATTTGAAAATTTTTAAACGCCGAAACTAAGGATCTTGGGGATAATCTGCCGTAGCGAAAGGGTTAAGTAAGGAAAGCTAACGTATTATGGCTTAATTAAATTTGGCAATCTTCAGTTTATAAATTTTGTCGAAAATTGGAATTCAGATTCATTTTTGTTACCGGTATCACCGTTTTTGTCAGATCTTGACGAAAATCTGTGGCACGAGTCTGACTCGTTGTTATAGGGCAACGGGTGAAGAGATGAAAAATGTTGAGTTGAGTGGAGATCGATTATTTTTGCAATGGAAATTTTAAAACGCAATGAAATGTTTATTAGATAGCTTCAGATTTAAATACTTAAATTAAATTAAGTTAAAAATATTAAGATTCGATTAAATTTAGACTTAAACTGTTACTGCTGCTCGGATTTATGGATTTTTGAATCAGTTTTAGATTTAATTAGTTCAATTAAGTTAAATTAAAAATTGAGATTAGATTAGATATAGATTTAAATCGATTAGGGCTCTTACTGTTGCTCAAATTTATGGATATCCGAACCAGTTTCTGTTCTAATTACTTCAATTAAATTAAATTAAAAATTCAGATTGAATTAGATTTAGATTTAAATAGATTGGGGCTTTTACTATCTTGTAATCTTGAGTATTCGAATACTCGAATATCTGAATAATAAGAGACCTCCTAAACTAATAAAAAATATTTGCTAATATTCAGAAAATTATAACGTGAAAGAATTTCTTTCAGATATCGAATAAAAATTGTACTTTTTGATATTACAACAAACAAAATACACTTTGTTCCTGAGATTTTTCTATGGACACATTTTAATGCTTCAAATCATTTCTTTAAAGTCACTTTAAAATAAACATTTATTTCAGAGTATGTCATAAAAAGGTAAGTATTCCTTACTTTTTCTTTTATTCTCGTATGAACATTCTAAAATTTTGCATATTGTTGTAAATTTGAAGTTTTAGTACCTACTTTATATATTTTCATATATTTTCAGGAAGAACGTACAAAAGCATCGACCACGCACTATCAGATAACCACATTAAAGTCAGCTGCACAAGCTTGTAACCCTTGTCCGTCTAGAATACCGACACAAATTTGTTTAGACGACAGATTCATATTTCGAAGGTATAAATATAACTTCGAAGCAGCAAATTATCTTTTAACGAAAAAGACCACGACTACTTTGGAGGAAAATGTACTCGATGTGTTTAAACAGGTGAGCTAATTAGCTTTCAGGAGGTAATGAATCAGATGTTATTGCAATTATATTTGTCGAGTGATGCAGCAAAATTTAATCGTAGAAATGTTTTCGTTGTAAATAGAATGGAATTTAGACTTCAGAATTTTTATACAGGATGTGTGACAAAATTGGAAAGGGTTATATCTCGAGTTTGGTTAAAGATAGGAAAGAATAGAATGGTAGAGAGATTTAAATACTTTCTTACAGCTTCACTTTTTTCGTAAGTGCAATGGTACATGAAAGAAACATTGCAAATGCATTTCATCAAATGAAATTGCATTTTATTTTTACGTAGATCGATTGTTTGGAGAATTCTGCGTGAAAATGTTGCATACGCAAGCTTCACGAATTTTGATTTGTAGAAAATTCAATTTATTAAAATAAGAAAATTTGTAATTTGAAGAAACTTGGACCATAAGCTTTCGAACACGAAAGTTTGTAATTTAAACTCTCAATATCGTTACTTGCATTGAAATTAAGCAATAAATATTGAATCTTCAATTTAAATCCAAAATTTAGGATTTTTAAATTTCAAACTTACACGTGTAAATTTTCATTTTGTTTTTAGCAAACGAATTTTCGGTTTCTCACATAGTAGGTACATTTTAATACCTCATTTTTTACCCGAGTTAAATTTTAGTTTTCACATGAAATTCTAAACACACCTTTCAAATTTGCATATTTCAAGTTTAAAGCGATTAGACTTTGCAAAATTTTCACGTACTAAGTGAAGTGAATCCTTTGTGCAATAATCCTTTTAAATTAAGAAATATGCTAATTTAAAGGGATTAGACTTTGCAAAATTTTCAAGTACGAAGTGAATTCTTCGTCCAATAATCCTTTTAAATTAAGAAATATGCAAATTTAAGGGGATTAGATTTTGCAAAATTTTCACGTACGAAGTAAAGTGAATTCTTCGTCCAGTAGTCCTTTTAAATTAAGAAATATGCAAATTTAAGGGGGTTAGACTTTGCAAAATTTCCACGTACGATGTGAAGTGATCTCTTCGTCCAACATTCTCGATCCTTCAAAGTGGATGAAACCAACTATACATTTTCCATTGATCGGAAAAACTAGTTTAGAGCCACGCCATATATCAGCTTATAAACGCGTAAGCGGTTTTTAATCGTCCAGAACGTCGGGGATCTTCTCTAACGGCAGTTCAAGCAACGTCAAGCACCGAATTAGCATAGGGTGGCTGTCCGGATGTGGGCGCGAGATATCTTGTTCATGTTTAACGACGAGAGTATGTAATCGTCGATAATCGATAGAGATAAGATCGAAATGACGACGGGGAAGCGGCTTACCGCGCGGAAATTACCGTTCTTAGACGCTGGGAAAATAGTTGGCGTTTCAAGAACAAAAGTATGAAAAAGAAAAAGGATAGAACTTCCTCTTTCTCTTCTTGCAATCGCGGAAATATCGAGTCGAGTTTCATAATCTGTTTAGATATCCGAGAGATGATTTTCTTAATCGTTATTTATTACCAGTGCCAATTATTCTAGCTATAAATAGCGATGCTAGGTGATGTTCGTCGAGCACGCGAAATTCTCCTGTAAATTCAATGACATAAGATGTACTTTTTTTTTTACTTTCATTTTATTTGCAATTTCGTGGAGATATTTATAGTTAGCAGGTAGAAGAATGGAACTGATTATCTTTGCAGATATTATGCTGAATATAATTCTACTAGTCCTTAGATCGTTGAAAAATTTTCAGATTATTTATATTTTGGAAAAATACGTGTTTTACAAATGAATACTAATAGTATGAATATTCTTCGAGAAATGAGATTGAAAAGACTATGGTGTTTGCATGTTTCATTGTTCAAGATTATGCAAATTAGGATTTGAAAGCTTTTATTACAGGAAGTAATTAAATAACTTACATTCAATTCGACAATTTTCATATTCTGTATGTTATTGTATGATATTTGTGAAGAAAACAGGATAAAGAGAAAGAATCTTTTTTTCTCTATTTTTCAAAGGAGTACAGTAAATTTTCTACAAGAGTCAGTAAGTTTGGATTCTACAAGTGACAGTATAGATGGTCCTACGCCTAGGTCTGCGTCATTGCTGCGCCCATGTTATCTCGCTCGCAGTCAGTCAAGCGTGTAACGCTACACCAGTCGGTTTCCTTTACGAGATTTCACAGCTCGACAAATATAATTTCTTTAA